TTTCGTTATTTAGATTTGCTGCAAAAATAGAAATAGAAAAAAACAGAAAAAAAATTATTTGCAGCATGCAGCTTAATATTCCCATGCAATCTACAATAAACAGCATTTTCATGTTACTGCATAAGTATATCATGTTTTTTCAGTGTATGCACATTAGGGCCCGACCAATATATTGATTGACTGATAATGTTGGCTCATATTAAGCTTCAACAGACTGCTATGTACAAAGTTCCCCCAATTAGTAACAATACTGATGCCCATCTTATATTATAAGCGCCACTAACGTGAAGAAAACCAGCAGAAAAAGTAAATAAATCTCACAAATAAGAACTGAAAATCATATCAGTCAGATAGAAATGCACAAGTATAAAAAAAACGCGGGCAATATTGTTCATGCACAGATTTGCTGATGCTGCTACATAAACGTTAATAAATGCAGTAACTGGCACTAAATCTACTGGCTTTATCACTACAGAGAAATATTTATTTCTGCAGGGTTATAAATGTAGTAAAATGAATAAACTCCAGATATTTCAGTGCAGTAACCCAGCATCACCTCAACACTCTGCTCTTACACTCGAGTTCAATAAATACATCACCAAACATTGTTTTTGAAATATTGGCCAAAGCAATAATTTTTTTAAAGCAGTTATTTGCTGATATCAATATCATTCCAACATGATTGTGCATCACTACACTCTGAAAAAAGATGGTTCTTCAAGGGTTCTTTAGTAAAGGCACAAGTTCTTTATAGGACCATTTCATGCTTAAATGGTTCTCCGGAGGGTGAAATGGTTCTTCAGATTGATGGAGTATGATGTGTTGTTTTTGAAAATGGTTCTATATAGCATCAAAAACGGTTTTGCTATTGTGACAATTTCAAGCTTGTACAGCAGGAGAACAGTTTTTGGTGCTACATAGAACCATTTTCAAAAAAAGTTCCATATAGGACCATATACACATTCCCCATCAATCAAAAGAACAATTTCACAATGTAAAGAACTATATAATGATTCCAAAGGATTGTGCATCCCGATAGTAAACACCATCATGGTCGTCACAATCATTAATTTTAGCTGAAGACTAATTATCACATAAGTAACAGTGATTTTTCTTGTTTATTTTATGTATCTATTAAAGTACAAGCCAAATTAGCTTATTAGCCATCTTGTTTCCTGGCTATGTGAACTATGTAGCCAACACATCATGTGTATTCAGGTACAACTTCTATTTTTTATTGAGAGTGAAAACATAAGCAAAAATAAACCTCCTTCTGCTACCATATTGTTAGAGTACTGAGTTTTTAAGAATGTGTCTCAATAAATGCATTTACTGCTTTCTTTTATTTACACTTATTTACCTCAACTCAACACTGCGTTGTTGTGTTGTGTTAATATTATGGTCAAATCTAATGTGGAAAATGATAACTATGATTATCTCAAATAATTGTAATTAGGCAATTTTGTAATGACTGTGACAGGCCTAAGCGCTGTTTAACTAAGCCAGCTATAATATAACAACAAAATGAAAAAGCAGAATATTAATCTAAAATGCTAAATTAAATCTGCTGATACTAACAGTTGTCTGAATTATATCCCCTTAAAATCAGTGTCGGTCACAGAATATTCAAATCAGTCAAGCTATGATGCATGTGCTTACTATTAGCACAAACTGCTGACACTCAGTCAGACTGACCAAACTACCCTGACCATACAGAATGAAGAGAGAGGACACATGACAACAGACAACAGCAGGTTTAGCTTCACACATGAAGCTGTAGATTCAGAGAGCAGCTTCAGATCACCATAAAGACCATTTACAGCATTTATTTATGGGACAGTTTGGCATTTTTCATGGATTTAATTACATATATTCTATATATTTAACCAAACTGAGAGTTTTGCAGCCGAAATGTGGAGAATATTACTGAGTAGTCTCAGTTAAAACCACAGGACTGAAGTCATGAGACTGAGATCAGCTGACTGACTGGAAGCTTTACTTACACACTTAAACACCTTAAACTCCATCAGGAGGAACTGATTTACTCATTTACTCATTTACTGCCATTAGAGGATCCAGATGACTGAATAAAGATAAACAGCAGACTAGATGACGGTATATTCCGACATCTGCAGTATATTAAGATCTGTTTTCTCTTAATTCCCCTTAATTAATCTGAATTTATCTCAGTTTAATTCTCTATCTGTTTGTTTCCAGGGTGCTGTCTAATAAGAATGAAGAGGGAGGACAGCATGATAACGACAACAGGTGGATTCAGTGGATTCAGTCAGCAGCTTTCAGAGGACAATAAAGACCATTTACAACATTCACAGCATTTAGTTTTATAGCCAAAATGTGAAGAATATTAACCAATTAATCTCAATAGGTTAGAACCACAGGACTGAAATGTTAAGACTGAGATCAGCTGACTGACTAAAAGCTTTCACTTACTCAGCACTTAAATACATTCCTAAAAAGGTGGTTCTTCAAGAGCTCTTTAGCAATGACAATGGTTCTATATAGAACCCCGAACACCCAAAGAACCATTTCCATGCTTAAATGGTTCTCAGAAATTTTTCTTCAGATTGATGGAGAATGTATATATATGGTTCTACAGAACGTTTTTGGAAAACCCCATCATTAATCATTAATTATTGTGACAATTAATCATCAGCTAAAATTTCATGATCGTGTCAGCACTAAAAGGACTTCCTGTACACTAATTAAAAAAGATGGTCCTTTAAGGGTACTTTAGTAAAGGCAGTGGTTCTATTTAGATTCATGAGCTCTATATAGAACCATCTGCACGTTTAAATGATTCTCTGCATGGTGGAATCGTTCTTCAGACTGATGTACATTGTGCTGGTTCTATGTAGCACCAAAAAGGGTTCTGCTTTTGTGACAATGTCAAGATTGCAGCAGTAGGAGAACCATTCCCATTACTAAAGAACCTTCAAGGAACCATCTTTGTTCAGAGTGTAGCATAAACTCCATCAGGAGGAACTGATTTACTGATTTTTTGCCTTGAGAGGATCCAGATGACTGAATAAAGATAAACACCAGACTAAGAGACAGCATAATCCAACATTTCAAATGCATATAGAGATCAGTTTCCTCTTCACTCCTCTATATTAATCTGAATTTATCTGAGTTTAATCCTCTTTATTCTCATTAGTCTTTACTCTCTGTTTGTCCTGATGCTAATTTTCGCGCTCAGAATTCCTAACGAGAACAGAAAGAGACTAAACGAAACACTTACCAGAGATCCTGCGACATATTTCACCCGATTTTATCTGTTTATCCTGTTTACAGAAAAGTTTTATTAAAATAACAAAAACCAAAACAAAGCAGCAGCGCGCAGCAGCTTCCTGTTTCACTGCGCCGTCAGTACAGGGCGCCGCTAGGGACAAACCTCATTCGTAGATGGAAACGCAAAGAAGTATTTTCGGCAGGTTGGGATTTTATAAATATTTATGTAAATGCAAACACATTTCTTTACTTTTACCACCTCAGATCTGAGTGTCTGCATTAAGTCTAACTCAGTCCCTGTTTAGCTGCAGATTCCGTCCTTAATATCTTTAGTATCTTACTGATCGTTTGGAACAAGCTTGAATTCTTTACTCACGGAAAACAAGACAGTGAGATCAGACGGGATGGTAAGTGTTTCTAATAAAGTGGCCAGTTAGTGCACATACAAGGTAGGTGTTTCTAATAAAGTGGCCAGGTAGTGAAAATACAAGGTGGGTGTTTCTAATAAAGTGGCTAGTTAGTGCACATACAAGGTAGGTGTTCTAATAAAGTAGCCAGTTAGTGGAAGCACAAGGTAGGTGTTTCTAATAAAGTGTCCAGTTAGTGGAAGCACAAAGGAGGTATTTATAATAAAGTGGCCAGGGAGTGGAAGTACAAGGCAGGTGTTTTTAATAAAGTGGCCACGGAGTGGAAGCACAAAGGAGGTATTTATAATAAAGTGGCCAGGGAGTGGAAGCACAAGGTAGGTGTTTCTAAATAAAGTGGCCAATGAGTGGAAGCACGGAGTTTGGGTTTTTTTAATAAAGTGGATGGTGAGTGTATAATAAAAGAATAACTAAAGAATATCCTTAATGTAACACAAAGCTTATGCACCTGTAAATAGTCCTAATAATGTTTGCATTACTGGATGACATCAGCCCCTATTTAAAGCCAAATGTTGTTGGTCTTTTTGTTTCATGACTAAACACACTTGTTTGGGTGAAAACAAATGTGGGATTTCTCGGAAAAAGACCGTTTATACAATCTGAATGGTTCTTCAGATTGATGGAGAATGTGTTGGTTCTATGTAGCTCCAAAAATGGTTTCTTATTGGTAATGATGTCAAGCTTGTAACAATAGAAGGATCCTTTTGGTTCTATATAGAACCCTTTTCGAATAAGTTCTATATAGAACCATATACTACACATTCTCCATCAATCTAAATAATCATTTCACCAAGCAAAGAACCATTTAAGCATGCACATGGTTCTTTGAGTGTTTATGGTTCTATATAGAACCACTGTCTTTACTATAGAACCCCTAAAGAACCATTGTTTTTAAGAGTGCAGTGTTCAGGGTTTAAATTTTGTGCATGATCATGAAAAGTACAACTTACAAGTAACTTTATATGCCAAAGTATGTTTTGGTTAATGTTTGTTTCAGTGTATAATGAAACAGTTGGTAGGATTGTATTGAATTAATACTGTAGATATGAAAGTATCTTTCATATTCATATTTTCAAACATACTGTCTGCTAAAATGCACTGTATAATCTCTCAGGTGGGGATTTTCCCTGCACAAGTGCAGTAGGCAAGTCACTCTTTGTGTTTCTTCTATAAACATAGGTAACGATCTTTGGTGTTTAATAGGAAAGATTGGAATTTTCCAGGAGGCACTACAACCTGTTACGCAGGTCATCTGCATAAATCATCTGACCGCTGTAGTCTCATATAGGCGGCGTTAAACTCTGGTTCAAACCAGATGCTACCAGCCCAGGTGATACTTTCTAACGCTTTCAGAGCTCTTCTGAACTCTTCCTCGCTCTTGTAAGCTTTTTAAAACATTTTAAAGTCTTCTAAATTCTTCTGAACTCTTTATAACTCTTCTAAAGTTTTCTAAACCTTCTGAATTTTTTTAACATCTTTTAAACACTTCAGAACTCTTCTAAATTCTGCAGGTCTCTTCTGAAGTTTTCTACTGTTTTCTGAACTCTTCTAAATTCTTCTGCACTCTTCTCTACTCTTTCTAACTCTTCCAAAGTCTTCTGAAGTCTTCTAAACTCTTGATAACTCCTATAATGTCTTCTAAACTCATATGAACTTTGTAAAAGTTTGCTAAACTCTTCTAAGCTACTCAAAATTCTTCTAAACTTTTCTGAATTCTACACTCTTCAGTACTCTTCTAAAGTCTTCTGAACCTTTTTCAAGTCTTCTAAACTTTTCAGAATTCTTCTAAATTCTTGATAAATTTTCTTCTAAAGCTTAATCTCTTCTAAAGTCTTCTGATATTTTCTAGATTAGTTTAAACTCTAAGTGGGCGAACCACAGCCATGCTTCAGGTTTCTCAAAGTGCTGAGTTCACCTGTTTTGGTCCAATGGAGTTGGAGAGAGTGAGCACTGCAGATGCAGAAGCCCCTTCGCTGGCCAGCTGTGGAAGGCTTCGCTCCTGTTCACTTTACGCTCCCGAGGGTTCAGGAGTGATCAACACAGACAGAAACTTTAGAAGACCACGGTCCAGATCCTTCTACACGTTAGAGCCTGAAGACAGCAGTAAGGACAAGGCCAGCAGGTCCAGTGCCGATAGGCAGGGCTTGTTTCAAATGGACACTGGGAAGAAAGATGGTGGTGAAATCGTCCACACCAAACTGCCACCGAAAAAATCAACAGCAACCAAACATAAGCATCTCAAAAAAGACCATGCAGGTGAGAATCAATGCTTTTTCTGCTTCCCTTTCGAAGCCTGTATGACTGATATTTAGTGATTACGCAATGCAAAGCAACGAACAACGCTATTGTTATTCGGCGGTATATTATTCTTCTTATGGGTACATAACATTTTGTTCGCTAACTTGAGACTGTTCTAACTCCAGAATGTTTGGTCTGAGCAGGAAAGATGTGCTTGTCTACAGAATTTTGGTCCAACGTATAAATTTCGTACAATCATCATTAAATAACAAATTATTTCCCTATATGAATGAATAGGGTGCAAAAGTTTGTGCACCCAACTTATGTCATGTTGACTAGTCCATTAACGACATCCTATTAACCATGTGGGGACCCATAGCAACCACCTGGGATATCATAGCAACCTAACAACATCCTAGCAACAACCTAGGGTATTACAACAACCACTTATCAGCAGATTTGCAAACACCTAAAATGCCATAGTGATACTTTAACAACACTCGAGCAACCTCCTAAAATACCATAGCAACCAATTTGCAGCCCCCTAAAATATCATAATAACTGTTTGGCAACACCCTAGCAACCTCCTGAGATGCCATAGCAGCCACTTATCAACACCTTTGTAACCACCTAAAATACCATAGTAACCGTTCGGCAACACCATAACAACCACCTAGCAACACTCTAGCAACTACCTAGGATACCATAGCAACCACTTATCACCACCTTTGCAACCACTGAAAATACCATAGTAACCCTTTATCAACACCATAGCAACCACCTAGCAACACCCCAGCAACTACCTAGGATACCATAACAACCACTTATCAACACCTTTGCAGGCACCTAAAATGCCATAGTAACCGGTCGGCAACACTATAGCAACCACCTAGCAACGCATTCTAGCAGCCACTTAACAACACCTTTGCAACCACCTAAAATACCATAGTAACGGGTCGGCAACACCATAGCAACCATCTAGCAACAACCTTGCAACCACCTAAGATACCATAGCAACCACTTATCAACATCTTTGCAAACACCTAAAATACCATAGTAATCGTTTGGCAGCACCCTAGCAACTGAAGAACATGCAGAGTGATTGAGCAGCTTAACCAATTCCCAGGTGGTTGCTAGGGTGTTGCCAAATAGTGTGCGGTTGCTAGAGTGTTTTTGAACAGTACTGTGGTATTTTAGGTGGTTGCAAAAGTGTTGATTAGTGGTTGTTATGGTATCCAAGTTAGCTGATGAGGTGTTGCTAGGGCATTGCTAGATGGTTGCTATAGTATTCCAGGTGGTTGCTAGGGTGTTGCTAGGTGGTTGCTATAGTATCCCAGGTGGTTGCTAGGGTGCTGTGTAGGTGGTGCTACAGTTCCCAACATGATAAATAGAGTGTTACTAATGGACTTCTGTCTTTGTAATATACGCTGATTGCTGATGTATTGCTTTGCAATGCACAAACACTAAAAATGGCAACCTGAAGTAATTTCATTTACAGTATATGGCACACACTCTTCTCCACAGAGACAGTTCAATCATGTTTCAGAGGAAGGCAAATGTAAATTTAGGATTCTTACCACAGCAGGTCATCAAGCTAACAACCTACCACTTTCAAGGCAGTGGTGTTATTCACTGCTGGATAAAAAGTGAAAAATTATAATTAGTTATAATTAGATGATCTCTTTAAGAGCTCCTCCATGTAGCACCATCTGTGTTTTCACAATGATGAAAAACTTGTGTTTAAGTGCTGTGTGTTTATTGTGTTTGATACAAAGAAAGCTGCAGTTCTCTGTTTTATCTCGGCACAGCTGTCTTTGTGAGGAGGCATGAACTGTTTTTTTTACAGCAGGAGGTTTTCACCCCTCCCCTTTCACCCTCATTTCTCACTAGCAGCTCGACAATATTTCACACAAAGAGAGACAACAGATTCCTAGTTCATAAGATAACAGAATTAGAGAGAAACAATCATTTAATTGGTTGTAATAGTAAAAATATCTGAGTTGATTTCCATTCTGCCCATGGGATGGCCACTAGGGGGCTTTGCAGAAAGAGTTAAACAGTTAAAAAATGTAGGAACCTTTGGTATATGTGGCAGATTCTATTGAGACTATGTGGCTGTGTATTTGTACTATATTGTATTTATTTGTATTTTAATGGCATTCTGTATTCTCCATCTACATAAGCACAAATTTCACCAAGACACATTATGGCAATGTTCAAAGCTGTAACTACATTATTAGTAGTACAGTTCATTTATCAGGGTTGTTCCTGTCTTAGGGAGCAAAGGCAGCTTGAAAAGTATTCCAATGCTGACCATCTCGGAGCCGGACAGCTGGGAGATCAGCTCTTCCTCTGGGATGAAGTATGGCCAGTATGTGGACTGGGAGAAGATTGACCCCGAGTCCGCCATCCGTTACCAGAAAATCATCTCCAGTGACCATGCCAAGCTGAAAGAGATGGGTCGCTCTGGATTCTGGACCATGCCGCATACACTTCGGGCCAAAGCATACCGCCACATCATCAACTGCATCGAACATCGGGCCAGCACGGTGGACACGGATACCTACCGGGATCTTTCTGGACAGCTGTTTGAAGAACAGAGGACGAGCACGCATCCTTTCCCAAAGTTCATGGAAGACGGGGAGATTCCACGCTACTGTCTGAACAAAGCAGGCCTGAACTCGGTGAAGAAGATCCTGCTGTGCGTCAGCCAGAACTTCCCTGAGATTACATTTTGCCCAATCTTGCCGGCTCTGGTGTCCCTCTTGCTTCACTACAGCGAAGATGAGGCCCAGTGCTTCCATAGCATCTGCTCTCTGGTGTCCTACATGGACCCGGAAAAGCGCTACATCGACCAGACCTTCATCACCACCCATGCTTCCTGCATGACGTTTGGGGACTTGGCCAACAAATACTGCAGAGGCATCCGCAAGCTAATCGCCAGCTCCCACCAGAGCCTCTTTGAGTTCTACTCCGACTGGATCATGTGGATCTTCGCCGATCTGCCCTTCAGCTACGCCATCAGAGTGCTGGACGTCTACTTGATTGAGGGATACAAAGTCCTGTACCGGGTTGCGCTGGCGCTCCTCTGCCTCTACAAGGTCTCTGTGAGCTCCCGGGTGGCCCATGTGGACGACTTCAGGCAGGACATGAAAAGGTTTGTGCAAAACGTATCCCGGCACAGCAGCATGGAGGCCCTTCTTCAGAGAGCCTTCAGCATCCAGCTGCCCACTCGCAGAGAGCTCAACTACCTCTACAATGCCAACAAGCAGGCACTGATTCAAAGGGGGATCCAGAACCAGAGGTGAGGAACCTTATCCAATTGGTTTGAAGTCACTGTAAAGTTTATCACTGTGCTTCCAAAATTGGTGGATCAAATTAGGGTTAGATACACTCTTAAAAAAGATGGTTCTTCAAGGGTTCTTTAGTAAAGACAATGGTTCTATATACAACCATGAACAATCAAAGAACCATTTTCATGGTTAAATGTTCTTCAGATTGACGAAGAATGTGTTGTATGTGATTCTGTATAGCACCTTTTTGAAAATGGTTGTATGTAGCACCTAAAAGGGTTCTTCTACTGTTAAAATGTTAAGCTTATATACAATACACTCTTAAACAGGATGGTTTTCTAAGAGGTTCTTTAGTAAAGAAAAAAAGACTCTTTATAGAACCATGAACACACAAAGAACTCTTTGTCAGATTAGAGTTTTTTTGTATGGTGAAATGATCCCAGAAAGGGTTCTGCTATAGTTATGATGTCAAGCTAACAATAGAATAACCCTTTTTGGTGCTATATAGAAGCATATACAAGACATTCTTCATCAATCTGAAGAACCGTTTCACTTCAATCATGCAAAGTGCTCTTTGAGTGTTCATTTTCTTGAAGATCTAAGTGTGTAGAGGAACCTTTTTGGTGTTTTATAGACCCTTTTCAAAAAGGTTCCAAATAGAAACATTGTCTTTACTACAGAACCCTTGAAGAACCATCTGTTTTTAGAGTGTACCTCACTGAAGGGCACAACAACACCATCATCAGTCATTATGAAACAGTGTTGAACATTATTCAGACTCATTGGCACAGTAAAGTTCTCTGGTAGCTCTTTCTACAGCAGATGTTGTAGCCACATTACTGAGCATTGGAAGACAGTAGCCAGGTTTCCTCTCAGCTGTCTAGTTAAATTGAAATGAATAACTAAAGGGTTGCAAAACAAAAAAATATGCTAAATAATGCTGAATTTCCACCAGCTCTCTACAAGAGAATAAAACCCTCTACGTCATACTCGTAAAACCCTTCTGAGAAATCTGGAACGTGTTTAAAGTCTTGAATGTCCTCACTGTTTTGTTTCATTTTATGGCTGTTTTCACATCGTAAGAGCACAGAGACAGAGCGTACTGCCAAGTATAATGACCCGAAATCTGCAGCAGGCACCTTTTGTCTGCTTACCGCCTAATATTGCCATTGTTTTTTTCTTTGATGAGATAAAGGTACATTTTAACTGGCCCATATTTTTCATTAGACTTGTATTTTTCCACTTACTTGTGGTTTTATGTGCCAAAAACAGTCACAGTTAATTTGTACATGACCAATTCCCAGCCTCTCTTTACCCCTTTACAATTAAACAGGCTGCTTTTGTCACTATCTTTAAGACTCATACATGTAAATAAGCTCTGAGTTCTGATTGGCTGTGTATTGCGTCTCAGTCAAAAAATTTAACTCCACTGTGTACTTCTACATAGATGGAATGACAATAAAAGCCTCTTGACTTGCTGTAGTGAATCAGAGGATGTGTCGTCACTGTCATAACAAAACCCAATATCTCCATTTTTGACATTTTTCATTTTTTTGACAACATATGAAAATACCAGTTTCCCTTTACGTTATGTGAAAATGTCATAATAAACAGGCCAACAGAAATGGAATAAAATATCTTTGCATTGACTTCCATTAAAAGTTAAGGTGGGTTTACAAGAGGTCTCCTGTAAAGTGAACATTTTCGAGATGTGAGGTTTCAGTCTGACAGTGACAAAGTGTAAATCTAATACTGTTTATGACATCACAAAAACAATTTATTCAAATCAGGCTGTTTTTGCAACTTTGGATGCATATATGGACTCTATGTTCTGGGGAGTGAATGGGATATTTTTAAACTTTAACAATATTAACATACCATGTCAAACTCTTAATTTTTTTTAAAAAAGTGGAAAATTTGGTTTTCCATGATGTGGAAATTTCTGTATTTGTAAACTGCCTTCTGTCATGTTTTGTGGCTACAACATTTACAGTATTTATTCAGCAAATGAGTTTCCCGCATACTTTATCACATCAGCAAACTCTTATGCAACATTTGCAGTTCGATATTTGCCACTTTCATCAAGTCTTTTTTATTCAAAGTGAAAATGCACATAAAAATATATTCATAAAAATTAGACATATTGAATAAATAAAAATATGTATAATATGTGTATTCAATATGTCAAAATGTGCATAAAAATATATTGATAAATATAAATTTGATATGTTGAAAAAATAAAAATATTTATGAAATATTTATTCAATGTGTCAAAATGTGCGTAAAGTGTATGTGCAAAAAATAAAATAAATAAATAAATAAAAATATGTATAAAATTGTTATTCATTACGTAAACATATACATAAAAATATCCATGCCAACATACATTCATAAAAAAAGACATATTAGATGTAATATTTATTCAGTATGTCGAAATGTGCATAGAATATATGTGCAAAAAATCATAAATAAAAATTTGACACATTGAATAAATAAAATATTAATAAAAATATGTATTTCATACATCAAAATGTGCATTAAAAACATGTGTGGAAAAATATATTCATCAAATAAAAATCTGACATATTGAATGAATAAAACTATTTTTCAAACATGTATTAAATATGTCAAAATATGCATAAAAATACATGGATGAAAACCTGTCAGGTAAAGAAGCTGGTGGGGAAGAAGTTCAGTCTGATTGTTCTTGCATTTTTTCATTTGTTTTTTTGCAGCTCGTACCAGAGTGTGGAGCTGGGGGGATTCTGCTCCAGCGTTGTGTCTGAGACAGAGATGCGGGTGGTTTGGGCCTGGATCCCAGAACGCTTTGCTCTCTTCAGCCCCGTACGGCTCTTCAGCACCACTGACCATGGCAGGAGTCTGACCTCGTACGACCTCATACTCCAACATTCACACTTATCCCGTTTACCCAGAGCAGCTCACAGTCAGCAGATATAAAATAGAAAGAGAAACTCCTCCATAACTCAGTGTGTGAGATGTAAACAGAGTGATTCAGAGTGGTTTGGTGTGAAATGGTTCAGATTTCTTTACAGTGGTGCTGATAGAACCAGGGGTCGCCCTGACTACAACACAAATACAGCCATTTTATCTACTATCCAAAACCACCAGTGAACCTACACCTGTCTTTTGAGTTTTATATGGAATGTTCATCAAGGTGAAATAGTGGAAAATCTGAAATAATAAGTTTTGTTTGGGGACTATTTTGCCTCAGCATTTATCCCTTCACCATGAATGGATTTTAAGGCCAAAATCTTCTCAAAACTATAATAAAAGAATGTCTCAGACATCAAGCAGTGTATTCATAACCATTTCATGTAAAAACCTTCTGTAAGGGAGCTTTTAGAGGTGGATGTCTGGTTCCTATCACAACCACTGTGAACAATTCTGATTCGGTAAGTTTCTCTAGAACAGAGCGTTTCAGACCAAACCACTCTGAACGACTCTGTTCACATCTTAACTATTTAATAATGCAGGAATTTTGAAAAATTGGTGGGGTTCCCCTGTAAGGATGCTGAAGAAGTCTGCCTCACTCAGTGCGTGTTTTGTCTATAGGTTTTATTCCCGGGTGGAGGGCCATGAGCCGACAGTGCTGCTGCTAAAAACAGTGGATGAAGAGGCAAGTATCACTTTAGCTTTGTACTGATTACAAATCAGAGGTTCTGTGACTCAAGGAAGGCCAGCTATTCAACATTTTGTCTCTGCTCCAGCTTCTAGCTCACCTAAGCCAGGTACGGCCCTTGATTGTTTGACTCTGGAATGTTGGAAGCTGAAATAGAACAGATAACTTGCCGTTCCCCAAGATCTGCATTAGGAACCGTTGTTATTAAAGGGCCTATATCCTACATTTTTCTTGCATTTTATTTTTTCCCCCTGAGGTCCACTTATAGTATTTGTGTAGTTTTATATCCCAAAAACAAGCAGAATCCATTTCATTTTCCAACCTTTCTTTATCTCTTATAATAAACTTTTTTGGTTACTTTAAGGCTGATATATATAAATGAGCTCTGTTCTGATTGGCTGTGCCTCATTCAAAAAGCAGTCTAGACTGAAACACTCTTTATAAGCTCTGTGTGAGTGAGCAGTGCAAAACTGCTGATAGCTGAGTAGGCAGATATAAGTGTTTTGGTTGTGACATCACAAAACAATACATTCCATTCCATATATGGACTGAAGGAACAAGAGTAATAAGTATGTTTTGAAACATTAGCACTGTTTATATTCTACACCCTTAAAAATGGTTCTTCAATGGTTCTTTAGTAAAGAAAATGGTTCTACATAGAGCCATGAACACTCAAAGAACCATTTGCATGCTTAAATGGTTCTCTGGATGGTAAAATGGTTCTTCAGATTGATAGAAAATGTTGTAGTTGGTTCTATAGAGCACCAAAAAGAGTTCTGCTTTTGTTACAAGCTTGACATCATCACAACAGCAGAACCCTTTTTGGTGCTACATAGAACCAACACATTCTCCATTAGTGTGAAGAACCATTTCACCATGCAGAGAACCAAGCCTGGAGTCTAAGATGAGACTTTGAAGGTGAAATCTGTGATTGTGTTCTCTGTTTAGGTCTGTGGAGCTTTCTTATCTTCAGACTGGACTCTGAGGAACCATGATGGAGAGAAGCTCCAGTTCTTCGGCACTGAGGAGTGCTTTGTTTTCACTGTACGTAATAAAACCTCCAGCCTGAAACTGACTGCATAATGAAGAAGAGCAGAACATTCCTGTACAATTACTTTACCATACATCTACACTAGCGCTCAAAAGATTGGGGTCAGCGATTTCAATCTTTCTAAACTATTGTTTTTAAAGAAGTGTGTATAAAATGATTCTATGATGAAACTACTTTCTTACAAGGTTCAGTCAGTTTGTATGAAGCTGCATAAATGAGGATGTTTTGCAAGATAAATGAGCTGTAAGTGATTTCATCATAATTGATAAATCTATACAGCATTGAGAATGAACTGATAAACAAACTGACACCCACAGTGACTCATATTTGAAAACCCATAACCAAATCTCACTAATTACACAGATATTCAGAGTGTATTTGACAGCAAATTCCAATAAACAGAAAAATATACATGAATACATTATATATAAAATTTGAGATTTCATGCAGATTTCATGGTTTTATTGAATCATTAAAGAATCGTAATCAAACAGAAATTCATAGCTAGATATTTTGGCCTATTGAGTAGAGAAGCAAACTTTAGGTCATATTTATTTATATAATATTTCAGCTGAGGCCGGGGATGGAGCGCTATCAGAGAACCGTGCTTCACATCTCTGGGATGACAGGAACCTCATCTTCCTCCTCCTGCAGCTCCGCCCACCCTGCCGGGACCAATCAGGATCCAAAGTACCTGTCCGTACCATTCTGCTCACCTGAGCCTCACCTGCCCAAAGCCAGGTTCATGGCTGGAGGTGATGAGATGCTTTTTATCGGTGAGCTGGTTCATTCAGATGTTTCTAACTCAAATACAGTTTTAAGTGAAATAGTGATGATTGAACAAAACATCTAAAATATCTTTTAGTGTCTAGTTTATTGAATAAAATAACAACAATTGGCCCTTTTCACAAGAAATGGAAAGGTGTAAACGCTGGGTAAAACTAGTTCCGCTACTTTCTTGCGGACAGTTTCTAACCTCAGAAATACAGGCATTCGTATCGCTTCAGCTCACGCAGAAAGGTGTGTCACTTTATCTTTGTCATAGTCGCCAAGACTGACATTCGAGGATGTGTCCAGAACTGTTGGAGAACGAAACACACAACAATGTGGGAGTCCAGGCTAAATAAATGATATAAATGCTTTGTGGAAAAATTCATTCACAGCTATTAGAGTAGAATAACGTCAGCTAATGTCTACAGAGTGATAAATCGATGAATATATTTAAATATATTTTAGATTATCCACGTTAGATTATCTAACATATATGTTAGATTATCCACGTTAGCTAGAGATGTTGAAACAGCTTGCTAACAATAAACTAGTTGACAAAAAGCTAAACACACATACACTCCAGCAGGAATCTACTCCATGTTGAGCACGCTGAGAAAATGAAAACTGTTCCACTGAAAGCAGCTGCAGCAGCAACTTTAAAGGACAAACTGCACATGAACGTTAGTCAGCAGCGCTGAAATGCTGACACAGAGGTTCTGTTACTCCGTATGACAAAGTTTATTCCTTTGTTAACTGCACAAAATCATTTTCCTGTGCTTATCGTCAGCTGACAAACCACTGAAACTGAGATAAGGCTGTTTTTGCTGGATTGAGCTGTACACACTCTACTCATCATCATTGTTATTGTCGGTGCTCTAGTGGAAGCAGTGTTACCCTGTAACAACGACTTCCAGCAGAAAAAATGCGGAAATGTGAAAAGAGGCAATTCTTATTTCACTTTTCAATGATATTCTATCATAAATATCCCAATTTTTATTGCATAATTCACCTTTATATTATGAAGTATGTGATGTTATGATACACGGTCAGTCAAAAGGAGTTGCTCACATGCTCGTGTGTTGTTTAGTGATGTTAATCACCTGTATGTGATGCATTTGTCCTGTGTGTTAAAGGAGCAAAACCAACAAATGAATCTCTTTTTCTTTCCCTCTCCTCTCTCTACTTCTTCCTTTTTCTCTTTTCTCTCTCTCTCTCCCTCTTCTCTCCTCTATTCTCTCTCTCCTTCTCTTTCTCCCTTTCTGTTACTCTCCTCTCTCTCCCTTTTCCTTTTGCTGTTTTCTCACTCTGTCCCCCTCTTTTGTCTCTTTCTCTCTCCTCTCTTTCCTTCTTCCTCTCTCTTTCTCTTCCCCCTCTTTGCTCTCTTTCTTTTTTTCTCTCCCTCTTCCTTTCTCTTTTTTCTCTCTCTGTCTCCCTCCTCTCTTTCTGTCTGTCCTTCTCTCTCTGTCTCCCTCATCTCTTTTTCTCTGCCCTCTTTCTTTCTGTCTTACTTTCTCTCCTGTCCCTCTCTCTCCCTCTCTCTCTCTCTCTCTCTCTCTCTCTCTCTCTCTCAGGTGGAGATGGGGAGTCATGCTCTCTCTCTGTTTGCTGACCTCTCTGTTGGTCAGTCTGAACGCTGTGATACGTTTGAGAGTCCAGTGTTGTGTCGGGGCAAATTCAGGATCCAGAGTCTGGAAGTTTGGGGCATCCAGCACACGCTGGCCCTACCTCACTCCCCGCCACATGCCCCACCCCACACCCCCCACATGCCCCACCCCACACCCCGCCACAGGCCTAGAGCCAAAACCCACAGAGGTGAACAAGGCCGAACGCACAGCTGACGTCACTTTATAGCCCTTTATTGTGACTTATAATTTATTCTGAACACGGTTTATGACGTCTGAAGGTGAATGTGTAACTACATAAACAGTCTGATTAGTATTTCCGTCACTTATTACTGCACAGAGGAATGAAAATAGTTCACCTTTTTTGTTCCAGTTATTTCTGTTCCAGGTGCTTCTGTTTCTTTATCACAAAAAATAGACTGAAAAAGCATTTTCCTTCACTCATTCAGCCCCTCATTTCACATGAAATGCTTTAGTTTTCATTTTTACCAGCCAAACTACAACCAGCAGTCAAAAAGGATATCAAATAACACAACTAGCTTAAAATAAATGTTGCTGTTGTTTGTTTGTGTGCTTTCCGAAGGTGTCCAGTGTCATTTTGAGTACGTTTTTTTATACACTTTGTATTTCATAAACAATAAATGAAGAAAAAATAACACTCGTTTGTTGTTCTTCTTTTCATTATCAGTATCTACGCTAGCAGTGAAAAGTTTGGATTTGCTGTTCAAAAGTGTGGAATCAAAGTTTTCAACAATGTAAAAACAAGTATGGTTGCTTATAAATGTATAAAATGATTTGTCACAGGTTTCAGACAGTCTAAAGCTGAAAATAAACATGAGTAAATAATAAATGCATCCAGTGATAAACAGAGCTGTCGATGTTTCTAAAATGACTGAGAAAGCTGTAGAACAGAATTAAAATATATTAAAATTAATATGCAGACTTCAGCACATTTTAAGAGCGTATATCTCAAGGCAGATAAATTGACAAAAAATTCTGTATACATAGACAGTTTTATTTAGCTGTCTTTTGTAGAATTCTTCATGTTCAAATTGACCTGATGTGTATATAACCATCTGAAAAGTTAAACCATATATTTTTCTCCATAAATGTTATCTTTAGATCAATTAATATCAGTTTAATCAATATTTAGTGTAATCAAGTTGTCCACCCCTTACAGATCATTGTTTATTAAAATAATTCACTCATTTTTTCAACATTTTTGACATTTTTTTCTGTCATGTTGATTATTACCAGCAAAACATCTCTTCTGTTGCGGCTAAAAATGGACCCTTTCAATTCAAATCACACTAAATGAGCCATAAAAAAAAATTATGCTCCAAAAATTCTTAAAAAATATTTTCCGGTATTTTTAAACTTTTAAACTGGTCAGTTTGACCCGGGACATAACAAGAAGGTTAAACGCCTAGAAAAAATTGGTGAATATTTTTCAATATTTAAGTCTTCATTGTATAAATTATTATTTTATATAAAAACAACGTTATTAATATGGCAGTTGATCCAAACTTTTGAACGATTGTGTAATTATAGTTATTTTGTTGTTTTTGCGGGTTATATATCTGTTTTATTTACTTTTATTTATAAACAAGTAAAGAAAAGTTCTCGCTCGTTCTCGCTTTCCACCAATCAGAGCGCAGAATCAGAGGGCGTCACCGAGGCGTGTGTGCTGTGGTCTCCTAGCAACGGCCCCAAACAGAGCGGCGCGGTTGCTTGGTTACGTAGAGCCGCAGAGCGCTCCGCTCAGAGACGGTATTATTGTTAGCTAGAACTGTTTATTATTGTTTTTTTGAGATATTTATTCGCCGCAGTTTGTACAGTACTGTGAGTGAGATGGCTGGAGACTCGCAAGAGGTGCCAAAGCTGCAGCTGGAAGCTGTTATTGGCTTTAATGGTAAGACGATGGAGCTCAAACTCCTTTAAAACTATTACAAACTGAATTTATGCTAACGGCGCTTCGCCAGCTGACTTACTTTAATCAGAAAATTCACTCATGCGTGTAAACAGATTTCATTAATTGAAATGTACTTTCATTATTCATTCATTTTTGTCCATTTTACGTAAACTAGTTACCTAAAGACAACACAATTCATTTATTTAATGTTAACATACAGCCACGATCCTTCCAGAGGTGGATAGTAACCAGTTAACCTGACTAAGCTGCTTTTTAAACTGTTGGATTTTTTTTTACCTCTTTAAGTAATTTTAAGTGATAATTCTTTTGCTTCTACTAAAGTAATCAGTGATTACAACACTACCTTTTCATCAGTTCCATTTCAGTCATTAACATTTAGTTCCTAATTCTCTTTTTGGGGGGTTTAATTTAAATCTGTTGGTTCATCTCCTGTTCTGCTTTATTGTTGACTACACACTTAAACTATGGTTCTTCAAGGGTTCTTTAGTAAATAAAATAGTTCTAAATAGAACCTTTTTAAAAAAGTGTCTTTATATAGCACCAAAAAGGCTTCTGCTACACTCTTAAAAATGATTCTTCAAGGGTTGTTTAGAAAAGAAAATGATTCTATATAGAACAATGAACAGTCAAACAACCCTTTGCATGATTAAAAGGTTCTTTGCATCATGAAATGGTTCTTTAGATCGTTCGTTTTTTTACAACCTTTTTGAAAAAGGTTCTATATAGCATCAAAAAGTGTTCTTCTATTGCTACAGTGTCAAGCTTGTAATAATAGAAGAACCCTTTTTGGTGCTATATAGAACCATCTTCAGCATGTTCTCCATCAATGTGAACAGCATTTATCAGCAGAGGAACTGAAGATCATTATTCTCTATTATTTCTTTCTGGATGTGTTTGGTGTAAAATGAAGCATTAAAATAAAAGGAGTGAACTCTAAAATAGATGGTTCTTCAAGGGTTCTTTGGTAGGAAAATGCTACTATATAGAACCATAAACACTCAAAGTACCCTTTGCATGCCTAAATGACTCTGCATGGTGAAATGCTTCTTCAGATTAATGGAGAATGTGGTGGTTCTATATATCACCAAAAAGGGTTCTTCTGTTGTTGATGCTAAGCTTGTATCAATAGAAGTCATAGTTCTAAACAGAACCTTCACTAAAGAACCCTTGAAAAACCATCTTTTTTAAGAGTGTACTCCCTTAAGTTACAACAGTTCCAGGACAATGTGCTTGTATTGCTCAGTGTTTTGGGAATAGTTCTTGATAACAGGTCATTATTAGAACCTCAGCTGTGAGTAGATCCAATATGTTCCAATATGTTTCTTCTTCTGCGCTCAGGTCACGTGTTATCAGGCCTCCAAGCTCATCCCGACAGAGAACACCTGATTTATCCTCTGGGCTGCACGCTGATCATCAAGAACCTGAAAAGTGGGAAGCAGGGGTTCCTTCACGGCCACACCAACAACATCTCCTGCCTGACCGTGTCCAAGAGTGGACGCTACATCGCATCCGGACAGGTCACCTTTATGGGCTTCAAGGTGAGAGCTCTGATGCTGAACTGACATCACATACTGTGACCATATTACTGCACTGAAAAACACATGCTTTTTATTTACATCCAAATGTGTCAGTCAGTTACACATCAATAATATTTATCACACAGTTTTTTAAAGTGGATAAACTGTTAGAGAGTAATTTAATTATTAAGAATAATTTGTCTTTATGTAACATATTTTATTCAGGTCCAACCAGTTTACATTTTAAATCAAGTAAATCAAAGCATCATTGTTTTTGGTGTAGGGGTGCAAATCCCTGACAACAATTAGATTCCGTCAGTTCTTTGTGAAATCTTAAAATTCTCCAGGATTCAGTTTCATTTGATTAATTTTGGTAAAATTACAAGTACACAAATCTGATTGGAGGAATTATTTACACAGTATTGGAATATAGACAATAAAAACCATACAGTAATGTTTAATTTTGGGTTTTCCATTTAAAAATAGTCCAAGAATTTTTCTATTTAGAGGTCATATTCTGTTGAGTATTATTATCGATTTGAACATTACAAAATTGCTCCAACTGAATCACCACCTTCAAACTGATGCATAAACATGCATTTTTACACCCTGTAAAGTTTAATAAATGTCTTTGAAAAGGTCTGAAAATAAAGAGAATAAGTACAGAGAATATACACAGTAGCATAGTAGTAGCTACAAGCAACATAAAGCAAAATAGATTATATAATAAACAGAATATTAGAATTAGAATATAAGAATGTATTTAATTTGCATATTCATTTCATTGTGGTTGCAGAATTATTCAAAATAGCTATTGAATAATAAACCTTCATTAAACAGTTCAGTTAATAATGCTAATGTTTTTAATATGAATGCAAGCAAGTAGCCTCTAGTTAGAATTATAAATATGATATCATTGTAATTGTTATCTACTAGTTAACGTTCACTGTCAGCAACATTAACATGTTTAGTCTATTCCTCTAAGATTAATAACTGAATAATAAGTTTAAAGGTTAAGATGATTGCTTTAGTGTTTAGACGCTGTGAATGTTTTTAAAGATGGCATTTTCTGCTCCCCAGGCTGATGTGATAATCTGGGATTATGCCAAAAGGGAAATCTACGCCCGGCTCACGCTCCATAAGGCCAAAGTGGAGGCGCTGGCCTTCTCCCCAAATGAAAAGTACCTGGTGACTCTGGGTGGACAGGACGATGGCAGGTACAGTTTCACTGGATGTTTATTTCATCTTCAAACCACAATCTGAATTATAGACCAACAGCACTGGCACAATCTTGGTTATGGTTATGTTATGCCTGTGAAATGTCTGTTATGTGCATTATGTGTTATGTCTACTATGCAAATACTGTATTATGTCTGTGTTATGTTTATGTTGTCTAATGCTGGTGCTGTGTTATGCCTATGCTATGCTATGTCTACGCTGTGTTATGTCTGTATTATATCTATGATGTATTATGCCATTTCTATCTGTGTTATGTCTAAGTTATGCCAGTGCTGTGGCATAGCTTAAACATAACTCAGATATAACTTGGGCATAACACAGACATAGCACAGCATTTTCCAGTGCTGTGTTACATCTGTGTCACACTATGTCTATGCTGTGTTATGTCTATGCTGGGTAATGTCTGTGCTGTGTTATTTCCATGCTATTCTATGTCTATGCTGTCATGTCTGCCCTGTGTTATATCTGTTTAATGTCTGTGTTATGTGTGTGCTGTGCTATGTCTATGTTGTGTTATATCTGTGCTGTGGTATATCTGTGTTAGTTCTATGCTGTGTTATATCTGTGCTGTGTTATATCTGTGCTATGTCTATGCTGTGTTACATCTGTGCTGTGTTACATCTGTGCTATGTCTGTACTGTGTTATATCTATATTAGGTCTGTGCTGTGTTATGTCTGTGCTGTGTTATATATGTATTAGGTCTATGTTGCGTTATGTCTCTGCTGTATCATCTGTATTAGGTGTATGCTGTGTCATGTCTGTCCTGCGTAATATCTGTGCTGTGCAATGTCTTTGCTGTGTAATGTCTGTGCTGTGCAATGTCTTTGCTGTGTAATGTCTGTGCTGTGTTATATCTGTGTAATGTCTGTGCTGTGTAATGTCAGTGCTGCATAATGTCTGTGCTGTGTAATGTCTGTGCTGTGTAATGTCAGTGCTGCGTAATGTCTGTGCTGTGTTATATCTGTGTAATGTCTGTGCTGTGTAATGTCAGTGCCTCATAATGTCTGTGCTGCGTAATGTCTGTGCTGTGTAATGTCAGTGCTGCGTAATGTCTGTGCTGTGTAATGTCAGTGCTGTGTAATGTCTGTGCTGTGTAATGTCAGTGCTGTGTAATGTCTGTTCTGTGTAATGTCAGTGCTGTGTAATGTCTGTGCTGTGTAATGTCTGTGTTGTGTAATGTCCGTGCTATGTAATGTCAGTGCTGTGTAATGTCTGTTCTGTGTAATGTCAGTGCTGTGTAATGTCTGTGCTGTGTAATGTCTGTGCTGTGTTATATCTGTGTAATGTCTGGCCGTTGCCCTTTGAATCACTGCTGGTGTGTTTTCAGTATCGTACTGTGGAATGTGGAGAAGAAGGAAGCTATCTGTGGAAGCCCTGCATCTGCCCACAGCGCTGGACACTGCCTGACCGTGGGTTACTCCAGCCACAACGACGACATCTTCATATCAGCTGGAAAGTAAGGCTTGGATTAATGACTACTTAGTTGTATTAACCCTTAAACTGCAGGTTCATTATGTTTTGTATTAATCTAAAGGCTTTTTAGAAAGAAACTATTATGAATTATTTAGTAATTAAACTATGAAACTATTGTGTGAGTTTTGTTGCTGTGAGAGTGAAGAATTGAAATGTGGACACACGTACAGACTTTGGAGTCCGTTAATGCGCATTAGTGATATTCAGGGTTGGGTTGTGAATTAAAGTCACAGTTAGGAATCAGAAATCAGAAAAAACACTGATCAGTTTTTGGTATTGTGTGATAATTTGGGCTGTTTCTAAGTAGATCTGAGGGAAATACTTTCAGTCAAAGCTAAAGCATTGTGAAGAGTGAGAAAGCTGTAGTGTAAGTGTTGTAAATGAGGTGTAATTTTGTTCTCCTGTTGTTCCCTGCAGTAGGACACTCCGAGTGTGGGAGCTGGACCTTCCCAACAGGAAAATCCGCCCCACCGAGTGTCAGACTGGACAGCTAAAGCGTATCATTAAGTGCATCGAGGTAAGAGTTATATTCACACGTCATTCAGCAAATACTTATCCTAATAAAATATGTCCTCTTTTATTTACCCACTCAAATATGGTATAGACCAAGGCCCAATCCCATTTCTTATTTTTACCCCTACCCCTGTTTTCAAGAGTCACCTTGCCTCTTGGAACTGAGTTTCAAGCGATGATAGTTGAAATCTGTCCTATGAAATGGGACAACCCTCAAATAAAAAAGAGCATTACTTGAATGTATTACTATAGAATGTAACTGCTGCACCATTTAAGGTAGAATGGGAAATTTAGCTAGCTAGCTACCGAGACATCACATACTACTAATGACTTTTTATGCTTGTTATGAAGAAAAGGACCACAATACACTGAAACGACGAAGATAATACAATGATTACTGTAAATTTTTGAACAGAGAAAATACTAACATTTGTGGGTTTCTTTGGTCTCTTGCGCATTCTGAAAAATCTCAGTTTGGAGGCCATGTAGCCCTAACACTTCACCCTACCCCTCTATCTCAACAAGAATCAGGACACCCTACCCCTAGACGTGAACTCCTAAATGGAGGGGTAGGGCTGAGTGGTAGGGGCGAGAGGTGAAATGGGATTGGGCCAAAAGTTTTGAATCTACACTTTCCACACAATTTCCCAACTTGGTTCAATGAACTACATGTCAAAAATAATTACTATGGAATTATTGCATGCTTTTATTACCAGAGATGATGAATGATACTTTCTTGATAGGGCTGTAATCAAGATCCCTTTTGTCTAGTCCAAGACAAGTCCAAGTGCAAAACCATGACTAGCTGGGACCAAGCCAAGACCAAGTCCAAATGAGAGAAAACCCAAATAACCTCTTTAAGACCAATTCAAAACACAAACGATTATTCGAACATCACTAAGTAAATAGTTAATAATTCAAAAGGCACACTCTTAAAAAAGATGATTCTTCAAGAGTTCTTTGGTGTTCTTAACTAACTAGGCAGAGCAGTGCTGCAGAGCAGTGCTGCAGCAGATCTGTAAACCTGAAAACTCAACCAGTTTCCCAAGAGTTTGGTGTAAAGAGTGACTGTTCTTCATTTCTCACACTGAAGACAGAAGAGGAGATGAGTAAGATCTCAGTTAATGTGAGGAAGAGCGCATCACCAAACTAGAACAGAGACTTTACAGAAGAACAACAATCGATAAACCAAACATTTTGCTGCCATTGAAGCATCAGCATCGCAATGGTGAGTGAGTTAGCGGCCAACATGGGACACCCCAACTGCCTGGGGGTATTCCGCACACTGGTTACAGTGCATACAGTGCAGTAAGGCGGTGCATTTGTTGTTGTAGATTCCAGAGGATGACAGTTTCTTCTACTGCGGCACCACCAGTGGAGATATAATGAAAGTGAACCTAAAGAGCCGACTGCTGAGCAGCTGTGGGCCGGTCAAGCAGAAATTCAGTAAGGTGGGTCTGTGCGGCCAGTGGCTTTCACTCTGAACCCTGACAGCTGCTGAGAGTGTGTGTAACGTCTGTGCGTGTGTGTGTGTGCAGGGTGTGAATGCTCTGAAGATGCTGAAGACGGGGGATCTGTTGGTGGGCTCTGGAGATGGAGCTTTCAGTCTGTGCTCCTCAAATAACTTCAAAATCATCAAGTAAGTCAGAGAGATTTGATCTTATTGCTTAAAACAGAGTTTAGCGTAAATGCATTGTCAGTAGTTTAGAAATGTAATTTGGTTCAGAATGAGTGTATAAATGCTGATGTGTTGTGTTTGAGACGAGTGGAGCTGGAGGGCGGCGTGTCGTCCGTGGCTCTGCGAGGTGAAGGTCAGCAGGTGTTTGTGGGCACCGACGCTGCTCAAATCTACTGCTTTGGATACACCGATTTCAAACCTGAACTGATCTCCACCAACCACAGCAGTGCAGTCTGGGATACAGCCTTTCCTCAGTAAGACAGACAGACAGACGAGAGAAACGACTAACAAAATCCTGGAGCTGTAAAAATCTTGAGATTTCATCAACACCACTAGAGGGAGACATAAGCAGTCTAAGTTTGTTTCTCTCTCTCTTTCTCTCTGTATATGTCTCTTTCTCTCTGTCTCAGTGGTAGTTCGGAGCTTTTTGCCACCTGCTCCCAGGATGATATCCGGGTTTGGCACACCGATTCCTGTAAGGAGCTCCTGCGGATTAAAGTGCCCAACATGACCTGTAACGCTCTGGGCCTCACTCGGGACGGCCACAGCATCTACAGTGGTGCGCATTACAGGATTAAAACATTGAATAGAAGTAAAGTTAACATGAAAGAAAATGTTAGATACAGACCATATATGCAGACCAACTACAAAAACAGCCTGTTTGAATGGTTTGAAACTCTTTTTGTGTTGTCATAAAGACCAACTCATTTAAAAGTGCACTGTGTAAGATTAAGTGGCATCTAGTGGTGAGTTTGCAGATTGCAACCAGCTGTGTCCCTCTCCCTCACCCCTCCCTTTCCAAGTGAATAGTAGAACCTACGGTGGCCGTCAGGTTTTCTGCCGTTGCCTGTCCCGATTTTGTTTTGCTTCTTCATGTTTTTGGTGAAGATTCATCCTCCCTCACTTTTTCTTGTGCTAAATACTAAGTCTGATCCGCCATTTGTGGAAATTTGGGTTCTCAAACTGCTCACATCACAAAATGGTCAGCCAGCACCGGCAGCAACCACTGATTCTTCTTCTTTCTACATCTTCCAACAGGAGCTACAGTGCCACCTTGAACATGACGGCCTTTGTGGGAAGAGGAACCTATTTAGATATGAAGCGCTCATTCTAAGCTAATGAAAACACAACGCTTTTCACTAATGAAAACATGGTTTTATTACTAAATTCCATTTCTGCTAATAGATCCCCCTAAATCTTACACACTGCACCTTTAAATATATATACCTAACAGAGTTTATCCTCTGTTCATCTGTATAATTTAGTGATGTTTAATGCTACATGTATATTGGCCTTCGATCCAATGACAGCTGGGATAGGCTCCAGCACCCTCCGTGACCCAGAAGGATAAGCGGTTTAGAAGATGTGTGTGTGTGTGTGTGTGTGTGTGTGTGTGTGTGTGTGTGTGTGTGTGTATTCATAATAAAATGTATGTTTTTGTGCCGTAGCGTGGAATGATGGGAAAATCCGTGTGTTTACTCCTGAGAGCGGCCGCCTGAAGCTGATCATCCACAATGCCCACAGCATGGGAGTGACCGCTATTGTGAGCAGTGGAGACAGTAAACGGCTCATCAGTGGAGGAGGAGAGGGACAGGTCAGTCACAGCAGTCAGGGTGCTGCTCAGGGAATCAGCTATTTTCTAAGGTGTCTCAGTGTAAGAATAGGCCCAGTGCACTGTAACTTTGGCTGTATTTGAAATAGCATGCTGTGTACTGTATACAGACCACTGCACTAGTATATAGTGAATACTGCATGCTCCTGTTCATCATTATAATAAAATTTATAATAAAATAAATAACGAGAATAATAAATGTAAAACAACAACTAAAACATCCTGTAGTGAATTCCAGCCCACTGGTTCACCACAGCTGAAAGTGAATTTTCCCAGTTTAGTAAATGCTCTCGGCGCCTGAAGGCTGATCCAGTCACTGAAAAATACACATAACATCCTCACAATAAATATGATTAGTGAAAAGTGGCTCAAACACTGACACATTTATTTTAGACCACAAAGTAGCTCAGCAAACAACAGTACAATAAGCTGAATATATACATTTTATTGTCATCTCCAGTATGTTTTAGATTAGATCTGTGAATAAAATAAAAACTATACAAATAATAAAATAAGTGAATAAAAGTTTGGATAGATGAACTGCTGTGAATGTATGGGGGGATATAGAGTTTTCTCATTGTTTATTTTGAGGGTCTTAGTTCACACACAGTTAAGCAATGATTACATTATTCCATCAGTCAACCTTTATTTTCACTTGGAAATACATTGAGGGGCATTTACAGCACAAAGGGGCTGAAAAAGAATTAAAGTGTGATTTAATCAGTTTAAACTAAAATCAACAAAACTACACGAACAAATTACCAGTAAAATCAAAGAAGATAAATGGGAAACGCAAGAGTTAATGAAGAAGAGGAACGATAAAATAAAAAAAAACATATAGAAGTTAAAAGCAATTAATACATTTAATACATAATAATACATTAAAATAAAAAATAAGAAATAAGGAAAACAGTAATACAACTGAGATCAGAGAAGAAAATTAAGATTTTATTCAGTCAAATAAAATGAAATGATTGGAAAAAATAATAAAATCAAATAAAAAGAAGAAAGGGAAAAAATAAACTCAACAACAAACTTATTGCAGTATTGTATATGATACTGTGTGTGTGTGTGTGCGTGCGTGCGTGCGTGCGTGCGTGTGTGTGTGTGTGTGTGCAGGTGCGTGTGTGGGAGATCCTGCAGGACTCTTACAAGCTGGTGGCCACTATGAAGGAGCACAAAGCTTCAGTGAACGCTATTAAGATCAAAAGTAATGATCAGGAGTGCGTGACGGCCAGCTCAGATGGGGCCTGCATCATCTGGGACCTGCTGTGAGTTTTTAGAGCAATTTATTTCTTTTTTAATACTGTTGTTAGGAGCACATAACATTCTCTTGTGGCGCACTGCTGGAAATATGTCACATTAACAGCCACAAGAGGGCACCATCATCCAGTTTACAGTGCCTGTTAAGGCTTAATGTCTGTATCTGCCTCACTTTGTTTTCTTCTTTGCTCACTGTGTCTGCTCCTCTCTTTCTTTCTCTCCTTCTTTCTCTCTCTCTATAGTCGGTTTGTGAGGAATCAGATGGTTCTAGCTAACACACTGTTCCGGAGAGTCTGCTATCATCCTGAAGAATATCAGATCATCACCAGCGGAACGGACAGGAAGGTACTGACCGCGTGACTGTGACCGTGTGTAACAGTGATCTTTCCCGCCGTCCTGCTGTTCTTCACCACAGAGCCCATCTGTTACTGCTATAGCACTTCTCTCTCTCTATTCTATCTCTCTCACACTCTTATTCTGCTCTCTCTCTCTATCTATCTCACTTGCTCTCTGTCCCCTTGTTGCGACATCACTCATCAGCACTCAAACCTTTCAGGTTTTTAAACCACATTTGGACCAAAGGAGCTTCAATATAAGCTTTTAACAACAGTTTGGAAAAGAAAACTGTCAAATCACTATTTAACACCTGCTCTTCATACCGAGGAAGGTACTCTGATGAAGATGAGGCTGAGTGTTAAAGATAAAAATAAACAGAGCATTTTTACTGACTTCACTGAAAAGTAACAGTAATACAGTGGAACAGTTTTGCAGTAAGAAGCTGAGGTGTGGACTCGAGTCACGAATTTGATGACTTGAGACTCGACTCGACAAAAGTGAGAAAGACTTACAATTCGATTTTGACTCAAACACCAGTAACTTGGAATCTGACTCGGACTTGAGCCTTGAGCAGCATCAATAAGCCCTCAGAGCTTAAACTCTTATTGGAGAAACTCATTAGGCGAACTGACCATTTTTCTCATAGTAGCAAAACAAAAGAAACACAGCTCTCCCTGTTTATCTATCTATAATACAAGCTTCTGCAGTTAAAACAAGCGCAACATTCAACACAACACTGAGGTTGACTTTTTCTTCGCCAGCTTTATATTCAAATTTCCTGTTCCACCTTAAATAGTGCAGAGTTAGGCACCAGAATGTAACCGCTACGCCATTTAAGGTGGAACGGAAACATTTAAATAAGAAGAACAACATAATATACAGCCACACGCTACTTACGTTCTGTTAATAAAAGACTGTATTACTGTTACCATCATTTTTGGTGTTCAGTGTGGAAATGGCCTTAAATCAGCTGAAGAATGCAGACTGACTTGACTCGACTTAAGACTCACCTGTACTGACTCGGGACTTGAATCAAGCCTTGACTGTCTTGACCTGGGACTCAAGCATCAAGAATTGAGACTTACTTGTTACTTGCGGCTTAGTGATTTGTTCCCACCTCTGGTCAATGGCATTGTGGGAAATGTATCCCTGTAGTGGCACTGGTTGATACTTAAGGACCTTTGGCCCTGTTTACATACAGTATTGTGCAAAAGTCACAGGTAGGTGATAGGAACCAGGCGTCGCCATGACTACAACACAAATATAGACATTTTATTTACTGTACAAAACCACCAGTGAACCTACATGTGTTTTCTGAGTTTTATATGGAATGTTGATGATGGGAAAATCTGAAATAATAAGTTTTCTTTGGGGACTGTTTTGCCTCACAGCTCCCTGCATATTATGTATCCCTCCACCATGAATGGATTTTAAGTTCTGAAAACTATCGTAAAACAGTGTCTCAGACAACTGTGCAAAAGTCCCAGCCAAGAAAGCTACTATCTGCGCTGTGTTTTTTTTTTGTCAGTAGAATAGAGGAACACAAAGTCACCTGATTTAATTTAATGAAGTATTTATCAGATATGCTAGGTATTGGATGGTAACTGGACGTCCTCCAGGAGAAACAAGTGGGAAATGGTTACACTAACACACATACAGAACAATCACATTGTATTGTTTGTTTGCTTGTATTTATTATAATGTTTTTTTAAGAAATGCTTAATGTGCAGATAAACAGCTTTATATATCATTGTCCCAGACGTAGAGTTCTGTATTTGAACTTTGAATTTCTGCCCAGATTGGTTACTGGGAGGTGTATGATGGTTCGGCCATCAGAGAGCTGGAGGGCTCGCTGACTGGAGCCATCAATGGCATGGACATCAGCCAGGAGGGTGGTCACTTTGTCACCGGTGAGTGAAAAAAAGGAGATTTCATGTTAAGAAGCCTGTAAGAGCCGAGCCTGAACGTGTGTATTTATATCAGTAAATAGTGACTGTATTTCATCTGATTCAGCACAGACTTTTCAGTTCAGCTGGAAAACAGTGTTTGTGAAGGGCTAGTTATCTGATATCAAACCTGATAAAGTCACTAAATCATGTTAAAAGTTTTATTCCATTAAATCTATATAAGTAAAATGTGAAATGAACTTGTGTTTGATGTTTATCAGTGCTGTTCTGCTACTTTTTTCTTGAGTCATTTTTGGGTAGGCTTGTGAAAACAGTCACATTTTCCAAATGTGCTTCGTCCCACAGTATCATAACATCAAGTTACAGCCTAGTGTTGACCAAAGTCCAGTCGTCATTACACCAAAACCAACGCTTCTGCCTTATAGTGAAAGAAAACAATAGCTAGACTGTGTAGACTAGAGGTCTGCAGTCTCCAGGGACCCACTACGATATCTTATGGCGTGGGACTAATTTTCAGTGTTGTGCATGGAAGTGGGCAGGAAACCACCCCACTGCAGGGGGGGAGCGGGACGAAGCATGCATTAAGAGAAGTTGTGCAAATTAATGGCTAGCCTAAATATAATAGAACATTCACTAACACACACACACATCTATATATATATATATATATATATATATATATATACACGATTTAAAATAATAACAGTAAAACAGTTCAAATGAATGAAGTCTTTCTAAAGAGCTGTGAAGCAGCCAATCATGTGAACAACACGCAGATTCTTATAGCTCACAGAGACGGAGCCTTCAGTCCAACAGCCATAGCTGCCCAGCAAAACACCAAAAATAACTGCTCTATGGTTTAATTCCTGCTTTGTGTTTACTGGGAATGAACAGTGCTTGGTGATGTTACTCACAGTGAGCCTGATGACCATGACTGCTGTGTCATTTCAGCAGAGGATAATGTGTTTGTAAATAGACTGTCAGATATTGGATGTCAGTTCTCCTTGATGGAGCTGTGCGGGCGGGAGTGGGACAAAACATTTTTATAATTTTGTCTTTACTTTGAAAACTTCATGCAGGGAAGTAGGGCTGGACGATATGGCAAAAATATCACTATATCACATCACAATTCACGATACATGTCACGATATTTTGACACACAGACACAGTGGAGCCGTATTTAATGAAAATTATTTTTGTTCAACATTTCAACTGTATTTGCGGGTTTCCAATGTTTCTTACGTTCCTTTTTCTCTTTCTCAGGTGGAGATGAGAAGCTGATTAAGGTGTGGCATTATTTTGATGGTGATGTCACTCACGTGGGCGTCGGCCACAGCGGCAGTATCAGCAGCGTTCGGATCTGTCCCAATAACAGATTCATCATCAGCACCAGTACCGACGGAGCCATCCTGAGATGGAGATACCCTCACTCCTCATAACTCACTCCAGACCACTCACGCTGCTGCTGCAGCACCCCACTGAGGCAGGACACTCCCACTAACACGCTCGGCCCTGCATTAAAGTGTCTTTCTGAACACAGAATTATTCTTATAGTTATTGTTATTATTTTGGAATAAAATCTTTACTTATCCAGCTAACTTTAAGCTCGATCTAACCCTGTCCCAAGACTGGATCACTTTTGGACAACTATGGCAACTTACTGCATGCCTAACCTGTTTCATGGCCAGTTAAAAGGCAGTTCCACCAATTCAAAATTCCTGCATAACTTAGTGTGTGAGATGTAAACAGCACCCTGCATATTATGTATCCCTCCACCATGAATAGATTTTAAGGCCAAAATCTCCTTAAAACTATGGTAAAACAATGCTTCAGTCATCAGGCAGTGTATTCATAACAATTTCACGTAATAACTTTCTGTGAGGGAGCTTTTAGAGGTGGACATCTGGTTCCTATCACCACCACTGAGAACAATTCTGAGTCGGTATGTTACTCTATAACGGAGCATTTCACACCAAACCACTATGAATGAGTCTGTTTACATCTTTACCATTTAAGTATGTAGAAATTTTGACAATCTGGTGGCATTCCCCTTTATCAGCAGCTACACGAAACCAAACCGTCCACTCTGCTCATCTTCATTGTAAAAAAGTCTTTAGACAGATGAGTCTCCTGTGCTGTTCAATAACAAATAAAGTGGAATTATCAGATGTTTCTATTAACGTTGTTGTGTCTTTTATTATAAGTACTATATATTATTATAACTGTGTTCACAGTTTTTGATAGTATTTTTAAAATGTAGGCTCTTTTTTCTCTTATCAGATGTCTGAAAAAATAAATGCTGTGACGTATTGTGTACTGTGAAAATGTATTTAAGTATCGCGTTATTATATTGTCGCCATATCGCCCACCTCTCTGTACAGCGGGAGTTCAGTTGTGCGCTCTGGCCTCGTGCGTCAGCTGTTGTTTGTGTTGGAGATCAGGTGAGAGATGTAAACTCACCTGAGCAGGTAAATATCGCCTGTTCTCCAGCAGGGGGCGCCTGGGTAACACTGACCAGCAGCCAACAGAACCGAAAGTGGTCTGAGAGAAAACAGGCCAGTCCAGTGTGCGGAGGGAGTTCAGAGGAGTAGCAGGTGTTCTCACACAGTTCCACCACAAACTGGGACATTTAGGGAGTTAGAGGGGGTTTAAGAGAGCGTGAGGTCACGAGAGAGGGACAGCAGCGCGCGCGAGACCGAGAGAAGAAGGAAAAACGGAGAGAGAGAGAGAGAGAGAGAGAGCTGTAATGCTAAATTCGTTCACACAGGATCACAGACGGCTCGGATGAGGAAGACAGCGCTGCGGTGAACTTCACCTGCGCGGCGCGTTGTTGTGTGAGTCACGTGGATGTTTGATTGGCACCTGGCCGCCCCTGGCAGTGCCCGCTGCGGCGGTGAAGGTGAGAGGTCAAGGTGAGTCCGAACTCTTTTGAAAATGGTGAACATGGAGGCGAATGAGAGTCCAGGAGCTGGGAAGAGCTCCAAACGCGCCAAGCGCAAAACCAAGCGCAACAAGGAGAACAAGCGCAGAGCGCGCAGACTCTTCAGGGGCAAGTCTTTCAAATCCGTCAGCAGGTTCATGAGCAGAGTGTTCAGAAGTCTGGGGGGCTTCGGGACGCAGTTCGGAGACGGGCAGAAAAAGCAGGAGGAGGGAGGAGAAGAAGAAGAGGAGGAGGAGGAGGATGAGGACGATGGAGGGTTTGGAGAAAGCGCAAGGCGCGCACTGGGACGCGCAAATGAAAACGCGCTGAAACGGAGCAGCACGCGGTCCTGCCCCCCCGCGCTGAGCTGGGGGGGTGGCGAGAAGCCCCCCGGGGTGCAGGGGCTGAGGAATCATGGGAATACGTGCTTCATGAACGCTGTGGTGCAGTGCCTCAGCAACACGGACCTGCTGGCAGAACACCTGGGCCTGGGTCAGTACAAGAGCGAGCTGAGGGAGTGGCCAGGCAGCGGGGTCGCGAGGAGGGACGCGGGACAGCGGGGTCCGCGGGGTCAGGGGGAGGTCACGGAACAGCTGGCCCTGCTGGTCAGAGCGCTGTGGACTCACCAATACACACCGCAACTATCAGTGGACTTCAAGGTGAGTAAAGACTACAGCACATATATCACTCCATAAATCCTCTATGAATTATCCAGTGAATTATTCAGTATCTACTATGAATTATTTAGTGTCCACTATGAATTATTCAATATCGAATATGTATTATTTAGTATCTACTACAAGTTATTCAGTACCTACTATGAATTATGCGATATCTACTATGAATTATTCAGTCTCTACTATGAATTATTCAGTCTCTACTATCAATGAATTAGTATCTACTATAAGTTACTCAGTAACTACTAAGGATCATTCAGTATCTGCTATGAATTATTCAGTACTGAATATGAGTTCTGTTATGAAATATGGTGCTGTAAGTAAACTGTGGGCTGGAACCTATGCAGCAGTTTCTCGTAAAGCTCATAAACACACCTTTGACCAGGTGGCATTTCCGTGTTTGGTGTGAGTGTGCAGGTGGGCGGAGCCTGAGCCACAGGTGAGCAGAGCTGCTTCAGGAGGCGTGCTGAGGCTCTGAAAACAATTTCACTTATTCACACTTAGAGAATCAACAACAACATGGAATTTGAGCTCAGAGAGAGTTTATATTTACAACATAATGACTGTAGAAGGACTGCAGAGGAAGCGTCGACAACACAGGACCCTTACATTAGAAACTCAGAGAGATAGAGAGAGAGAGAGAGTGAGAGGACAAAAGAAAGGGAGACAGAGAAAAAAGAGAGGAGGAGAGAGGGAGAAGTGAGAGAGAGAGAAAGAGAGACACGGAGAGAAAAAAGAGGGAGAGAGAAAAAGCGGTAGAGAGAGAAAGAAGTGAGAGAGGAGGGAGGAAGGGAGAGGGAAAAAAGAGAGAAGAGAGAGGGGAAGAGAAAGAGGGGTGAGATAATGAAAAAAGAGAGGTAGAGAGAGAGAAAGAAAAAGAAAAGAGAGCAAGGGAAAAAGAGGAGGGGAGAGAAGAAGAGAGAGTGGAGAAAGAGAGAAGTAAGAGAGACATTGAGAGAGAGAGAGAGAGAGAGAGAGGGGTGTAGTATTGTTATCTGTGTGTCTGTCGTTTGCTCTCGTAACAGTGTTTTTGTTTTGCTGTAATAAATAAATCTAAGTGTCTGAGTTTCAGTGTCTGTAGTTTTTATCGGTTGTTTATCAGACGTGCCGCCTCAGCGCTCCTGTAAACATGTCTGAGATTTACACCGTATTGTGGAGCTGAAAGGAAGCTCAGTGTGTGTGTGTGTGTGTGTGTGTGTTAGTTTGGCTGACACACACTCCACCTTGAACACACACTGAGCTCTGCTCTCTCACTGAGCTTTAGATTAATCAGTAGCTCATTAAAGCGATAGTTCAGATAGTTACCCAAATGTAATCAAGCTAAAGAGAAATGAAAACTTGTACCCCACCAATTACCATCACGCTAACTGCATACCTGGAGAGAAAGGAGGAGTGCAGACACAGGGAGAGCTGCTTTATCAGTGAGAGAGAGAGAGAGAGAGAGAGAGAGAGAGAGAGAGAGAGAGATGATGTGTGTTCTTCCCACCAGCATCATCTGGTCCACCGCTGGAAACGGGACAAGAGAGACAGCAGACAAATGAACCTGCTCTCTCTCCCAAACTCCCTCTCTCTCTCTGTCATCTGTCTGTCTTTATTTCTCGTTTCAGTCTTTCTCTCTTTCTCTTCACTTTTTCTCTCTCTCGTCTCCCTCTTTCTCTCTTTCCACGCTTTCTTTCCTTCACTCTGTCGCTTTTCACTTTCTCTCTTTTCAGTCTCTCTCACTAACCATCTCCATTCTTTCTCTCTTTCTCCATCTTTCCGTCACTCTCTCTGTCTGTCTGTCTGTCTTTATTTCTCTTTTCAATCTTTCTCTCTTGCTCTCTCTCTCTTCACTCTCTTCACTCTTTCTCTCTTTTTTATCTCTTTTTTTCACTCTCTTCACTCTTTCTCTCTTTTTTATATCTTTTTTTCACTCTCTTTGTTTCTCTGTCTCTACCCCTCTCTTTCTTCATTCTTTCTCTCTCCTCCTTTTTTCTCTCTTTTCACTCTTTCCCCCTTCACTCTGTCTCTCTTCTCTCTCTCTCTCTCTCTCTCTCTCTCTCTCTCTCTCTCGCTCTCTCTCTCGCTGCCTCTCCAGGGTAAAAACACGAAAGGCGCCCTCTAGAGCCAGTGTTTGGTTTGTTCGTTCTAGGGTACTATAGAAACATGGCGGCAGCAGCTCTCTGTTGAAGAGGAGCTGCTACCTATGTAGATATGAAGGACTCAGTCTAAGCTAACGGAAACGCAATGATTCGTAGTTACAGGTAATTAAACACTACTAAACACATTGTTTTGTTTACTTTATTCCATTTCTGATAATAGATCAGCGTAAATCTTACACACTGCACCTTGAATAACCACCAAAACTCCTCTTCTGTGTGGAACACCGATTTGTTTCATGTGTTTCTGATTCAGACAGATTGGCCTGAGTAGCGTTAGCGTGTTACAGTGGGTTGCTGGGTGGTTCTTCAGTGTAGGTGTGGATCTTCAGTGTGGATGTGGATCTTCAGTGTAAGTGTGGATCTTCAGTGTGAATGTGGATCTTCAGTGTGGATGTGGATCTTCAGTGTAGATGTGGATCTTCAGTGTAGGTGTGGATCTTCAGTGTGGATGTGGATCTTCAGTGTAAGTGTGGATCTTCAGTGTGGATGTGGATCTTCGGTGTAAGTGCGGATCTTCAGTGTAGCTGTTGATCTTCAGTGTAGATGCGGATCTTCAGTGTAGGTATGGATCTGTTAGTGATGCTCTGTCTGGTCTCATCTGTAGGGCATTGTGTCCAAGCACAGCTCCCAGTTCAGAGGGAACTCCCAGCATGATGCTCTGGAGTTCCTCCTGTGGCTGCTGGACCGAGTTCATGAGGACACCAACCCAGACACCTCCAACACCTCCAACAACACCAACAACATCAACAACACCAATAACTCCATCGCGAACGGCTCCAGCAACAGCAGCAAGGCAAAAGAAACCAGCAAGGTAAAACATCACTGTCAATCATCTTTATATCTTTTAAGGCTGATGCAAAAAAGTGGCTATTTTTTCTGTTTAATCAAGTGAATTCTCTGTTATTGCATGTATTTGATATGTAAAGAGCGTAATCAGACAAAGCTTTAAACTCACTGATTTTAGTTTAGTTCGTAACAAATTACATTTTCAAACAACACATGAATAGGAATGTAATTCAGACATCAGCTGTGCTTTTCTATCATCTAATCAAACAAATCAATAACAAGCACTGACCAATCCAAAATCACAGCGCATCCAGTAATAGAGGAAGCCTTGTGCATCTTTTATACAGTGATAGGGAAAACTCTGGTTCTACACTGTGACTTGTTTTATTCTGGCCAATGTGAATGCAGGCCCCATAACTCCTCTAGCAGCAGAGTTTTGGGAACCATCGTCAAGTTCTCAGAATGGATCACGAGCAACACTTTGTTCTTGGTGTTTTGCACTGATGGTTTTGCTACCTCAATGGGTCCTCATGCTCCTTCACAGGCTGAAGGACCTTGGTCAATAAAAAAATATAAATAAAATCATTTATTGTTGACTTTGCAAAAGGCTTGAATGTTTAAACCCCAAAACCACAACTTTTATTACAAAAATGATCACAGCAGAACTCAGAACAGAACAGTGTGTGTGTCCTTCTGAAAAGACAAAAGTGCTTTTGTTTGTGTCCTCATTCTATTCACAGAATCTCTCCTGGAGCGAGAGAGAAATAGAGAGTCTTTTTGTCTCATATGGTCTCTCATACTAAAGCAGTTTTTAGAAACTTTAAAAGGTTTAACAATTAATGTAAGTCAGTGGATATATATATATATATATATATATATATATATATATTATATATATATATATATATATTGTGATGGCCAGTGACATCATAGGGGTGGGGGTGTGAGGGGTCATTCACAATAGAGCCCATTCACAGCCCTTCCTCCCCAACTCACCTGGTCTTTCCTTACTTTTCCTCTGTCTTTCCTCCCTAACCACCTTATATATATATATATATATATATATATATATATATATATATGACATAATTTGAAAATGCCTGTTGACCATTACATTGTGTGTAAACTTCATAATGAAGAAACGTCTGCAATGACTTCGAAAAAAGTCTGGTTCCATTGAATTACATTAAAAGTAAAGTATGTAGTTACTGTCTGAACAAAAATTTGTATCTCCAAACTGGTAACTTCACAGAAGAAGGAAAAGAAGGAAAGTTAATGGAAAAATGATTTATTTCAGGGCATTTTGGAGGACTTCTGTTGGTTCATTCATTCAGCTGCTGATTTCAAATTAGGTCAAAAAATAAAAAAGTCACACATGGAGAGTTTTGTATCCAGTTTGGATTTATATATGGAATTATATATCAAAAGTCACAATGTTGATTTTGTGAAACTGTAATTACGGTATAAATAGTTCTTCCACTTACGTTGCTATATTCAATGCATTTTTAAACATAATTCTGATGAAAATACCTAAATTATCTAGTCAAATTGAATTGTGCTGAAATTTGTTTCTAAAGAACTGTAATCAAGTAGTTGTAAGGTCACAGATTATCACTCCTAAAATGAGTAACTAGTCTAAAATAGATGCAATTCCGGGTGGATCCATCACTGTGCAGGTTTACGGCTCTGTTAGACCAGTTATCGTCAGAGCTGTGAGTGGAAGTGAGAGTGCAGGTCACGCTGGAATTAAAGTGCAGGATGTTTGTGAAGTCGTCACTGGTCTGGAGGAGACACATAGTAACACTTACATTGCTAAGAAACCTGTTTTTCTGGAAAACTGCATTCACACACATTCATACACTCAGTTGCTGAACTGCACAGATGGGTTTTGTGTAGTAATGATGTAACATGAAGCCTTACCCAGATAAAGAAGGCAACACTGCGTTTCAGCTTCATCACACTGATACTGCTGATAGCACTGCTAATGCTGGGGTTGGGCGACATCTACCTGACCGGCATAGGATGATGTCTACTGGGAAATATCGGATGGATGATGACATTGTGGGGGGGGGTCATTCACAATAGAGCCCATTCATAGCCCATCCTCCCCTACATACCTGGTCTTTCCACTGTGTGTCACTTATGGCTGTGTTCAGTTATGGCTAAAATATCTGTTTGGGGAACAGAAGTGTCCTTTGTTATCATTTTTAGCAAAGTCAAAGGAAGTGTGCTTATTTTTAAGTTGTTGTTTTGTCTAATTAAACGTTTCTGAGGTGTACTTGGACAGTGTGCCATTTACAGCTGTCTGTACAGCCAAATAAAATTGAAATTACAGCATGAACAGCGATGTTACGAGCAGAAATTATGCAGAGATTCAGCAGACATGAGACTGTGGCTTCATAATGACTCAGTGAAAAAGCCCAGTTGTTACTATTGAAATGTGTGTATGTGTATATTCAATGCAACCAGATGATAAACTGCCAGTTGAACATCACTATTTGCTCGTAACAGACTAACTTTTTTACACATTGTATACTCTAGAAAACTCGATATATTCTGCCCTCACTAGCAGGCTGGACTTGTAGCAGAAAGCTAGCCGGCTAACAGGCCAGTGCTACAACAATTGAACAAATAAAATATCAAATAAATAAATGCTTTAAATACAACATTATTTAAAATCTGAGACGTACAAAGTAAAGATTGTTACATGACTGTGAGATAAAAATATGTGTATTTAAACTAGATCTGAGATTAAATTCCAATATAGCACTGAGCTAACCCCGCTAGCTTGATGCTAACATAGCATAGGGTGAACATACAAGGAGCATTTTCATAGTTTAAAAACAAATTTCTACATTAGACTGTCTAAAGACAACAGTTTAAATGAAATGACTTTAGTAGTGTGAGTATTCGGTGTAACTTTAGGCTGTAAACAGGATCCTCTGATACTCTGGATGAGCAGAGAGGGGTGGTGGGGGCGTGGTGGAGGCGTGGCTCAACATTGTGATGCCCGTCGGCCATCAACGATGGACAATGGCATCGTCTGTCAGCCGAACCATAGGTAATGCAGACAGACTGAATTACTGCCAAACCAATGGGAGAACTCTTGTCAACATTATGTTATGAAGAAATCCTATGGTGACTTTCCAAGCTTTGTTTTTATTTTTTTCTACTTTTTTTCTGTTTGATTTGTCCTTAAATCTCTGTATGTTAAAGTATGGTTGTAGGGTATGTTTAAGTATGGCCATTTTCTGCAGTTACACACAATATGGGACTGCAAACAAATGTGCATTCCTGAGATCCTGCTGGTGTGGGTATCCTCCCTTTCTATGATGCCCACAAAAATGATTTGAGTGCTAAGAGCTCCCCCTTGTGAGGAACAATCAGGTCTAGGTACATTATTTCTTAAAACAAATACCCTTTACATTTTTATCGAAGCATATACATACCACCGCACCTATACCACTTGACAGCAGGTGAGCCGGTGTGAAACCTAATTGTTCTGTATAGAACAATAGCCTTTTCTAAATAACCTTTAAAGAAAGTGATACCACCTTATAACACCCAAGCAATCATTTTCAGTACCACAACAGCCACATAGCATCCACCAGACATACCATAGCAACCACATATGCCATCAATATAACAGGAAGGTTTCACATTCTTGGTACCATTACCATTTTTTGTAAAATCTTAGATTATTACACTTAGAACATTTGGTGACGACATCATTGGCACGCAGAAGTGGGTAAGACGAATACTGTCTGTCTGAACTTCCATACAGGTCCCTGATGCAGGGATCACTCCAAAGCTGCTTTATTCCCATCACTGTGGTTTAGCGTCGGCCTTTCTGCCCTCTGTGCAGACGATCAGAGGGGAGGATCAGTCCAGACTGCTTATCCGGGGTAATTTGGCTCGTGTGTGAAGGTGCCCGGTGGATCAGTATTAATGCTGAAGGAGTTTGTATGTGAAGCTCTGCTGGCTGCTGACTCCTCAGGATGTTCTCTCGCTCTCTGTGTGAAAGACTTTGCAGCTTTTCATTCACAGCAGGTTTTCTTCTATTATGGGATTTTCTCAGCGATGCTGCAGATGGCCATAACAGCGCTAGCTCAGTCACGGATACACCACCATCAAAAGTTTGGGGACACCTAGATTTTCAAGCTGTTTTTAATCCAAACGATCATTTCTTTAACTGTTTAAGATGTAAACAGAGTTGTTTAGAGTGGTTTGGTGTGAAATGCTCCAATCTAGAGAAACTAACAGAGTCAGAATTGTTCACAGTGGTGGTGATAGGAACCAGACGTCCGCCTCTAAAAGCTCCCTCACAGAAAGTTATTACATGAAATGATTATGAATACAATGTCTGATGTCTGAGACACTGTTTTATGATAGTTTTGGGAAAATTTTTGCCTTTAAAATCCATTCATGGTGGAGGGATACATAACATGCAGGGTGTTATGAGGCAAAATAGTCCCCAAAGAAAACGTATTATTTCAGATTTTCCCATCATCAACATTCCATATAAAACTCAAAAGACATGGCGACCCCTGGTTCCTATCACCACCACTGTAAAGACATCTGAACCATTTCACACCAAACCACTCTGAATCACTCTGTTTATATCTCACACAGTGAGTTATGAAGGAATTTTGAAAAACCGGTGGAGTTTCCCTCATTATTTTCACTGTGAACTCAGTGAACTCTGAGGACGTTTTTGGACTGTAGGATTTTTGTGCAGGTTCCTCTTGAATGGCGCTGACCAGCACAGCGCACAATCCGATTAGCGCACTGATGACATTTCTGAAATGTTTTACATTCCACAGAACCAGAGAGAGAGAGACAGACAGAAAGAGAAAGAGAGAGAGACGGTGGGTGTAGAAGACAGACAGAATGAACAGGTCTTTTCTGACCTTTCTGTACGACACTGCCAGGAAATCACTGTGCTGGAAATGTGTGCTCCAGCAGCGCTGCTCTCAGACAGATTGCTTTTCTGCCGTAAATGTTCGTCATGTTTGGTTTACCGTC